CAGCTCCACAATTCAGTGTCCCATGCAGTAGGAGAAGGAATAGAGAATATGTTACTCATCCTCTCAGAAGATGTGATTTGCAGAAAACAAAAAAAAAACCCACCATAAATTTTCAGGGCACCACAATACTGTGATGCTCCCCTGGAAGGCAGAGGAAAACTTTCTACCCTGCTTCTGCGCTTCGAGTGAACTCATATTTGTGTTTCCAATAAAGAGCCATTTTTACATTAACTGTCTGGAACAGCAGGGAATAGGAAAACTAACACAATCTTTACCTCATACAAAGGATGATACTGGTGTCACGTGCTTGCTTCTTCAAAAAACGTTATTTATAAAAGGCAACGAGGAAAGCAGGGAAACTATTGACTCTTCTCTGCTATCCCTGCGCGAGCAGCATTACAGCAACTTTTTGATCCCCTATGTTTTTTACATTTTTCCCCCCCGAGAAGTAAATTTCACAGCCACACAGGCCACCGCCTTTAATTAAGCTTTCAAAAGTCTTCTGACAATGCCAACAATTGCAAGACACTTCTAGAGCTCAATCATGCAATCATCGTGACACTTCTATTTACAATTTGTCTTAGAAAGAGTTTCTCTGACATTGTACTTTGACAAAACAGCCAAGCTACCGGTTCACAACCTTTCTCTGTCTTATTTACAAATACAGCTTGTACGCAGTGCTCCAAATCTCGGGAGCAGGAGCCTTTGGGTTGCACCCTCACTATTTTTTCCTGCTTGCAATATTTTACCCAGCCTGCTCTCTCTGTTTCTTTGTATGGGGAAAGCAGGCAGAATTTGACTTCAAAATCTTCCCACATTGCTTCTTCCCCTCCTCTATCTTTAAGCTTTCATCTTACTGTCCAGATGCAATGCTAACTATTCAGTGCAGACAGCAGTATTTTTTTTTGTCTCCAGAACAAAACAAAACAAGGAATCGAAAATCACAACCTATAGAATTATAATGGCAACTACTAATAACAGCCCAAGAAAATTTCTGCTTAAAGACATTACCTCCCAAGAACTGTAATAATCAAATAGACTCAGTCTGAAATTTAGTACAAAATGATGTTCACCTTTCCCTGACTGCAGCAGACAGAGGGATTTCTTACATTATTTTCCCACGTGTTTTATTTGAATGTCACAAGCAGCTTGAGAATATAGGATTCAAGCAGTAAAAATGACCTCCCCTCCTCCTCCCCTCTTTGTACAGTAAATACAAGATCCACGGACCCACACTTGGCTTTATACAGGGGAATTCACAGCAACACTCTGAAGTGTTCCCCCATCTGCATCCAAGTAACATTTAAGATCCTTCTTCACCCAAACCCCAACCTTTCATTAATTCCCTCGGATTTATACATTCAACAAACAAACCGCCAAAACCTGACACGGGCGGGCGATAAATATTTCCTCGGCTTTTCAATAAGTGAACAGCGATTTTACATTCACTGATCTCCAGATACTTCAGTTAATATTTCCCCCTATTGTAAAATACGAGAGCGGATAACTAAAGCCCTGCCGTCGCCCTCACTGCAAATCACGGGCTGCCGGTGGTGAGGCTTTGACATACATATTGATGAAAGCTGCCTCGTTGGACCCACACAACATATCCTATTAATTTTCAGTTAAATTTATGGCATTTCAGCTCCAGTGCTGGATCAGCATCACTCAAAATTTTATAGCAAGGCAGAGCTGTGCACAGGCAGACACCCACATGGAAGAGCCAGGTATGGACACATGCCTGCACCTACGTGGACCCCACAGCTGCTGCACAGGTTGCACACACACACACACACACACACACACACATATATATATATATATATATATATATATATATGTATATAAATATATATGTTCCCGTCCTCATTCCTGTCTCTGGAAAACAGCAAGATAAAGAGCAGCTTAAGGACAGTTAAAACAGACAGTATTTCTCCCTGCATTTGAATGAGTTGCTGCCTCCTTCCTCCTCTGTAGATCTTTAACCATTACTTAAGGTTCTCTTTTACTGTAGCACCCCAACTTACTGACTACAAAACTGCAGACAGGGAAAAGCTGCACCCTGAGCTCATCCACAGCACCTCTGTATCCAGGGCTAACCTGGAACACCTCTTCTGGCCTCACAACTAATTTGGAACATTTTTATATTGCTAGAAAATATGTGTTTTATGGTCTCTTAGCAGAAAGAATCCCTTCCCCAACTTCTGTGTATTTTTCCAAAGGTGGCCTCTATCTTTTTTTTTTCCCCCCCTTAATTACACACTCAAATCTTGCATTTAGCATTCTTGCACAGAAATCAGATATAAACAGCTGAATTAGAAGAGTTTGAGGTTCTTTGCAGGGATCTTCCTGAAGCCTGAACTTCACAGCTCAGCCTCCAAGACCCTCACTGGAAATTTTACTGCCGGACTCCAACTACTGGCTACGAGCAATGGGTCACTCCAGCTATCACCACACTTCTTTGTGACAAGAGAGAGCTGAACTCATCCAGCTGAAAAGGGAGATGAAAACACAACGGGGAGGAACACTGCAAGACCTCCTAACTACTGGTGCACCTTCTCCCTTTCCCAAAGCCAGGCTGCATTTCCAACCAACAGGAAGAACCAAGGGACCCCAGCGCTTCTCAGCTACAGCCCAGCCAGGGAAGTGCAGAGAAGCCGCATTCTTAGACCTTCCGCCCATAAAGGTACGGCTGGGCACCACAGCCAGAAACCTTTGGGCAGAAGATTCCTGACAACCACAACTCCATCTCTACTCAGGACACACTCACAGCTTGCTCTATGGACCCTCCTGCATGGCACCGAGCCTCCTCCCAGTCAAGCCCACCAAGCGAGCAGAATCAGGCCCTGCCACTGAGCCCCTGTCCCCAGCCACCTCCTCCACTCAGTGAAGCATTTACAGTCAGTTAAAACCATGGCCCTTTCTGAATTAATGGCCCCGTGACGGCGCGTGAGCCCAAATCCTCCTCGCTTCGCGTCACCTGCGCCACGCGAAAGCCAGACTTGGCTCACTGAGCCTCCCGTGCCAAATGAGTGCCAGAGCAAAGCCCTCAGCAGAGGAGGTTCCCGTCCTGCAGAACTCCTTGGCGTGGCCATCCCTCCAGCCCAGGGACCTATCTGGGACCACAGGGACGACAGCATGTTTAATTTTTGCTTGACAGATACTGTGTTTTGTCTTTTGAGCGGAGCGGCGCCGTACGTAAATACTGCGTTACATCATACCGCCGCTCCTCCATATTTGGTGATTTAGTATGGCTCCAGAGCTTGGAAGACTACAAATCCCTTCCGCCAGGCTCCTGCTTCATTAATCATGCCCTACACTTCTGCTCGCTTTCCGTCAGATCACAGGCAGCACATGGAAATGGGCACTGCCCTCTACCACTCTGGGAAAGAAACCTCACCTTTAACATCCATGTCTGGTGGGGAATTATTGGGGGGGGGGTTAGGGCTCATTCAAAATGTAGCTTAGCAGTAGCTGAGCCCGTGTTTCCCCTTAAATGTAGAGATATTGGCGTTTCGAGGAAAGACCGATTACTCTGCAGAAACAGCACATACTTGTTGACATGACGTCTGCGTGTGCGCGCACATGGCTCTGCACACAGACACGTGCACAGGCAGACACCCGTGCACCGATACGGATCTGCTGCCACCACAAAACCTCCAAAACTGCAGCTCTCCAGCACAGTTTGGCAGCCGGCTTGAAGGCCAGGGAAGGCTGCGGGAGGATCCCGCTGAACCTCCCAGTGCCTACTGCCCTATTATGGTTTAACTTTGTGGCCAAAGCAAGCCCAAGACAAGCTCCAGCACATCATGTGATGATGTACTGCGCCTCCGACAACCCCGAGCGGTCCTGTGGGCTCCCCAAAGAGAGGTACCGGCAATGCCACATCCCAAACACCACTGGAGGGGGAGTTTGAAACTCGTTCAGGCATTCGTTGGGGTTGATACGCTGCGGTCTCGCCTCTTTCGACTGGCAGTATTGGCGTGGTTCGAAGTGATCTGAAACGCTCGCTGCAAATGGGCGGTACTTTTGTTTACTAGTAGGGTTTTAAAAGCAGAGCATGCCTTGTTACACTCCCAGGGTTCTGGGATTTTCTTTTGCATGGTACACTTTTATTTTTTTAACCCCATTTGTGAAAATATCTGCATGGCCAATGGCTTTCTGATTTTTTTTTTTTTTTTTTTAATTATGCTATGAAATGGAATTACCCTTTTCTCTTTTTTTAAATTACATTTCATATTGTTTGTTGCACAAAACAGAACTCTGCCTTGGACATTTGTACGGCTGACATGTGGTTGTGTAAACCGCAAACAAAATCAAGATACATCTGTCAAAACCACATCAGAGACAAGAGAGAGCACAGCGAAGCATTTATCATTTGGCTGAGGAGGCAGGCTGCAGAGAGCAGCCTTTCCTGTCAAACCAACCTTTTGAAATTTCCAACATGCCCTTAAACTTTTCGAATAAGCATGTCTGTGCGCTTCAGCAACTGCCCTCTCTACTCTGGCCTGGCCAGTCGAAAATGGCATCTTAAAGTCAAGGTCGGTGGTGTCACTTTGCCATGGGGCTGTGTTTAATTACAGTCCATACGCTGACAGCCAATATGGAACCAAGGCTGGCGGATGCTCGGTTAACTCTTTCACTCCTGACTTTGCCAAAGACTCAAAAGCTCCTCGCTTTCTCGCGCGGCAGCCTCAGAACCCTCCTCCCACGGCGCTCCGGCAGGCGACACCGGGAGACGGTGACTACAATGCAGGCAAATCACGAGAGTGGCCTCAAACAATACGGCCAGAAACACCGGCTGGCACGGCACGTGCCTGTTGCTCCTGCCGCTGCGCAGGCACCAGGAAACACCGCTAACCCGAGGCAGGCAGGGCATGGACACCCCGGCCGTCACGGCAAGCAGAACACACAGACACGGCAGCGCACGACTGCCAACATGCTACATTGCAACTGAAACAGAAATCAACTCGCAAACACTTCTCCTTGCTTTAATTTACCTGCTATATGTTCCTGTTTAGGGCAAATTCCTCTAGATGACGTTGATAAACAATCGTCATCCTCTGGCGTAACCTGGATGCCAACCTCCACGGGATTGGATGCTTTTTTCAGCTCACTTGGTGAGGGTGAAGGTGGCTTATCCACAGCCTTCTCTAGGCAGAGACTGCCATTGCATTGTTTCCGTTTGTGCTCAATAAAAATAAGAATGTCCCCCAACGGAAAGTTCATCTGACACTGGCCACAAGTGAGGAGGTCGTGGTCCCCTTCTGGAGCTCCCAATGTGCCATGTTCAGGTTCGTCATCAGTGAGAATGGCTTCAAGAGGTTCGGCTGCAGTTTGAGAAACAAAAGGAGAACGGTTAGAGATCTCGGGAAAGGCACCGGGTGCAGGGGGGAGGAACGCACCGAGCCCCTTCTTCATGAATATTACACCCCGCTCTGGAGTCTGCCTGCTCCCCCCCAACCAAATCCATACAACACGGCTGTCAGCACGGCACCGAGGACAGGGATTCATCAGTTACAGGGAAGAGATTCTGCAGGAGCAGCTGTAGCATGCAGAACTCGGAGGCCAAGCAACCGCAACTGTCTCCGTGTTCCTACACGAGGGCACATTTCTGACTCCTTGAACGATTCGGTGCTAAAATTAAATGGATAGGCTGAAAGAATACACTGCAAAACTCTTGTGGTAGTACGACAAGAAGGGAATATGGTGTTTTATTGCTGAATGTATTATTTATGTACATGAATTCAAGGCTAAAAGCACTGCACACACTCTCACACACATGGGTGTGTATCTTCCACCAACCAGACCCACTTTCTAAAATTCAAAAATACAGTGCAGACAGAAGGTGTTCCAATACACACAGACGCTACACGTTCCCCGTACAGGCCATGCAGGTAATGTGTGCATGTGTGTAAAAGAGAAGAGGGGGAGAGCCAGCCTGCATGGGCACACACCCAGGCACCGACACGCAGGGCAGATACGCAGCACTCAGAATGCACGTGCAGACGTAAACGCATGGATTTGTGTCACTGTCCCCATCGGCCCATTTGCAGCTTCCAATTTAAAAAAAATCCTACAGGCAGGAGTTATACATCCGAGGGGGGGGAGAGAAAGGGGAGGGTATGAGGCAAATAAATAAATAAATAAATAAATAAATAAGGCAGAAAACCGAAATGATAAAAAGCAAGTGCAGCAGAAATGCCTGCGGGGTGGGGGGAGGCACCTCTCACTTTTGAGCTACTCCTCGGGATCCAAATAAACAGCAAGTTCAACACCAAGTCCACTCAGAGATATTAGCTGGGATATTTTTTAGTACTTAAGGAAATAAGGCAATCAGTCATTTTGCATTTTTTAATCCTGAAATAAGCGAATGCCTAAATTATCTTGAACATGTTAGCACTGGTGGCCTTCAGCATCTAAAAATCAGCCTGGCCAAGCAGCTGCCACATTTCCTCACAACAGTGAGAAGCGCCTTCTTTAAACTCAAAATACCTTGCCTAATGTTGTCAAAGTTGACAAATTTTCTGAATGAGCTCCAAAAAGCTTCATTATGAGGCTATTTCTGCTCACAGAATCGTCAGTGGATGCTCTAAGGAGGCAGACTCGGCTCTCTTTTCTGTTTTTTTTTTTTTGTTGTTGTTTTTTATTACATTACATTTGCAGAGAAATACCTTGGCAATCTCTGTGCAGTCTCCATCCCCACTGCCTTTCACGAGGGGAAAAAAAAATAAATACCAGCACCGTGTCAGTGTTACTCCGTCTGCGCAACACAACAGGCACGCTAACAGCAGCGAGCAGGAGAGGGTACTACAAATACAACCCACCTCAAAACACTGCCAGGTAACGCAAGTGAGACAGAATACAACTCCTAAACAGTTAATCAGCCTGACCTTCTTTAGTTGGCTGCCAATTTCACATTTAATGAACTTAAAGCCACAGAGAATCAAAAAATAGATTTTAATTTGACTGCACAATATTGGAACTGATTTTGATAAAGTGCAAAAATCCAGTGAACTCAGGTTAAATTTATTTCAACCCTACCTAGGCTGAATATTGAGGAGGAAGATCTAGAGTAGCTCCCAGTTGTGCTGCGTAAAATAATATTGAAAGAGCACACTACCTTGCCGTACCTCAGCTCCAACTAGGACACAGGGATCCAGTCCATCATTTCTTGCCTCTAGTACTACTTCTAATTTAACGTAAGGTCAACCACAGGAATATGAAGGTTACATTCGTATTAATAAAAACAATGTCTTAATCGCTGGGGCTTTCTTCTAAACTTACAGACCGACAGGAGAGGAGGCACAACGTGCGTCTCACGCTCCTCGGGAAGCCGGCAGAGGAGCAGGGTGTTTCTGCGGGATTGCCGGGCATGGCGTTTTTCTCCCCGAGCCGTTCCTTGCGTTCGGACCGAAGGGAGTAAATTATTGCAGGACTAATTCCACCGGTAGCTCGCGGCACGCCGCAGACAAAGGTATTTTGCGAATCTAACTTCGAGCTCACCGACTCTCGGCAGCAAAGAGACACAAAACCACCCGTGTTCCCCTTGCAACTGGCTTAGCGAGGAGCTCTGCATAATCATCACTCAATTATAATGTTTTCCCGCGGCCTGATTCCTTTCTGACGCTGTCACTATTATTTAGCAGGGGAAGGTAACCCGCTGCTTCCACACCAGACAGTTAAAAGTGGCACTGAACAAAAATAGACTTTGCTAAAAGTCTGTACAGACTGGGCTGATTTACAATCAAAACCAGGAAATGAAGTGGTAATTCAGAGGTTGCTGATTACACCTCCACATTTCACCTAATTAATTTTATAGGAGGCAAAGTTCTTGAAAATAACAAGATGATCAAATGTACAGATATAAAACCTGTAACCTCAACATTTTCTATGCTCTTAACGTAAATTATTGCTAATTAACAAGAATTATATACTAATGTATGAAATACTGCTGGCACTGTGTTCGCTGCAAAACATTTGGCTCCTGATGGAGGCAGAGCCAGCAAAAAAAAATATGCTTTTTATTATTACTGCTACTTTTAGAACGTAATATAAAATACCGGGATTACAAAGAAAAACCCAGAATACAATTCACCTGGTCTTGCCTCCGATTTGCAGGATGCATCTTTTAATTCTGGGGCAATCAAAATTCCCTGCCCGGGTCCCTAATCATCCGTCTCTATTTTTCATGCAAATTGCCCTTCCACTAACATGTCTTTTCAGCTTTCCCCCTTCGCCCTCCTACTCCCCCCTTCTTCCCCCCGTTCCCAGCCACCAAAACAACCGCACCGGCAAAAGCGGGATGGATTTTGGAGTGCCGGGAGAAAGGAGGTACTGGGGCCGATGGGGCGGGAAAGGGGGGTGCCACAGTACGGTGAGGAGAAATGCCCGCGGGGCAGTGCGGATGCGCTGCTGGGGCATTTCCCCGCAGCGTACCGTGAGAAGGATGAAGGGCTGTTCAACCCCAAGTTTGTGTCTTCGGATCGTGCGGTGCAAGGAAAGGGAGACTTGGGGGTACAATGGGAACCGCCAACACGTTATGGGGAGGGAGGGGAAACCCGGGGAGGGGGAAGGCGAGCATCCCCCGCTGCCTCCCGGAGCAAGCAAACTCCGCGCAAAATTAAGAACAAAGAAGAAGAAGGAGGGGGGGGCGTGGGGGGGTGGAGGGGAGGGAGCCCCCCCCCGCCGGCCGGGAGGCAGCGGAGGAGCCGGCCAGGTTCAAGTTCGCGGGGCTGCCCGGTTGTTTGATCTCGCTGTGCCTCCTAGCGACCGAAGCGGGCACGGAGCCCGCCCGCCGCCTCCGCCGCCCCGGCCCCGGCCCCGCCGCCGCATCCCCGGCGCGCTGCTCCCCCGGCCCGGCCTCCCTTTCCCCCCCAGCTCCCAGCCCACCCACACCCCCCTCCCCACGGCAGGGGCGGCTCTCTCCGGAGGGACCCCCGGGCCCGTCCGGCCGCCGCTCCCGCCCCGCACGTGAAGCCGCTCCGCGCCGGCCCGCGCGTTTCTCGGCGAGCAGCAGCCGCGGGGATCCGCGGGGATCGCCGCTGCGCCGGGGGCCGACTCGGAGCCCCCCGCCCCCTCCTCTGCTCCCGCCGCGATCCCCGTTCCACGTATCCCACTTCTACGGCTGACCGGGAAAAGCACCCCCCGTACCCCATTTCCAGGGGGGCACCTATCCCCACAAGCCAGTGATGCTGCACCCCATCCCCATCCCGCCAATAAAAGAAAAAAAAATTAAAAAAAAAAAAAATTTAAAATGCTCCCCGAAAAGTAGCGGGAAAAAGAGCGGAAAAACGTCTGGGGGCGGGGGGAGGGGCTGAGCCCCAGACACCCCCGGGTTTTAGGGCAAACTTCGGGCAGGCAGAGCCCCCGGCCGGCCCTGCCCGCGGCGGAGCTGCCGCCTGCAAAGAGCCAGCGCTGCTTCCTTCGCTCCATGTGCGAACCTGGCTGCAATGTCTGGGCGGCCGTGGGGGAAGAGGAATCGCGGCGGAAAGTTTGGGGGGTTTTGCGAAGGGCCGAGGGAGCCGGGGATGGTTGGCAGGAAGAAATGGCCCTGGGTTTTCTGCCATCCCTAGGAGGGAACAAAACCCGCCGAGAGTAATGGGAGGGAGAGAGAGAAAGGAAGAAATAAAGAAAAGGGGGGGGAAGGAGTGAGGAAAAGCATGCAGCATTTCCCCTTCCCTCAGGCTCACCCCGAGGAAAAGGGGATTTTTTTTTTTCTCCCTTCCTTCCCACCCCCCTCGCCCCAAACCTTTCCAGCTCGAGTTGCCTTTTGTTGTGCAAAGAGCGCTCCCGCTTATCTTGCATCTAGCCCTGGTGTGTGGTGGCGGCTGGAGGGAGGGACGGAGGGAGCCGGAGAGTTTTTGTTGCGAACGGTGTGGTGGGGCTCGGGGTTTGTTTTTTCCCTCCCGGGGAGAGCGGATTTGGTTTGGGGTTGAAATGCGGCGGAGAGAAAGGGGCCGTTCGCGGGTGTGAGGGTGCGAGTGTGTGTGTGCGTGTGTGTGTGCGCGCGTGTGTGCTCAGCCCGGGCTCGCTCTCGCCTGTGTTTGTTGGCAGGAGGCTCCCCGCACACGCGGTGCTTGTAAACATTCAGACACGAGATTTTTCCCAATCAAAATCCACTTCCACTTTTTTTTTTTTTTTTTGAAAATCTTCCAAAAAATAGTAAGCGAGCGGGAGAACGCGAGGCGAGGGCGAGGAGGGAATCCCAGCCGCCGCGGCGCGGCTCGGCTCGGCTCCCTCGCCGCCCGGTACCGTCCCCCGCCCCAGCCCCAGCCGGAGCGGCGGCGGGGCGGGCGCGGGGCGAGGTCGGGGCGGCGGAGCCCCGCACGGCGCCGGCCCGGGCCGGCGGGGGGCGGCGGGACGGCCACCCCGCACCCCGCGGCGGAAACAAAAGGGAGGCGGCCCGGCTCGGCTCGGCTGTGTCCACCCCCCACCCCGGGGAGGGCGCCGCGGGGCGAGGGGGCGAGCCCGCCGGCAGCCCGGGGGACTCCGGCCGCCGGACTTTCTCCGCGCTCCCGCACATCCCGCCCGCCCGGCCACCGCAGTGTCCGGCGTCCAGCCCGCCGCTCCCGCAGGAATTTCTTCCCACTTTCGGCCGGTTGTGCCCCCGGCAGCCCCGCACCTCGCCCGCGCCTCTCCCGCTGCCGGGCGAGAGCTGCCGCTCTTGCCGCCAAAGAGCGCGGAGAGCGGGAGGCGAGCGCGGAGCGGGGCAGCGGAGTGCGCGCCGGCGGGCGAGGGGCACGGGCAGAAAGAGAAGAAAAGTCATCAAGGTGATTAAATTAGAGAGGGAGAAATTAACCGGAATGCCGAGAATCCCGAGCCGGCGCTGAGTTAATTTTTTCCCCGACTCGCTCACTCATTCCCACTTTTAATTTTTTTTTTTTCTCCCTGTTCTTGCTCGAATTAAAAATTAAATCCGTGAAGGGGAAATTAAATAAATTGCTCTCCGGGTTACTTACGTGAAAATTCCCGTTTGCTTAAGTGCTGGGGTTTGCCTTGCTTGCGGCGCGACATGGTGGGTTGGTGGCTTCGGTGGCTTGTGAGTCGCTCGGTTCACATCGGGAGAGACGGGTTAGAGAGGAAGGAGACTCCAGAGAAAATATCTTCATCAATGTCTTTTGACATCCAAAATAAATTAGAAATAATACAAAGATGGCGCAGGGAAGATGAATTGTGGGATAGCAGTCATGGCTTTTTTTTTTTCTTTTTTTTTTTTTTTTTTGTGCAAGGAAAAAAAAAGAGAGAGAGGGAGAGGGAGAGAGAGAGAGAGGGAGAGAGAGAAGGAGAGAGAGATGAAAAAAATGGCAAAAGCCCCCCTGAGCTGCAAGTTCAAGTGCGGACGTGACGTCCCTGCGAACTTGAACGTCAGGAGCCTGGATGGACAGAGACATACAAAACATGGGCAGGGCAAGCCGGGGAGAGGGGAGGAGGGAAGGCGAAGGCAACACCAATGGACACTCATCAGGGGCTGGACATGAAAAAGAGAGCAGGACAAGCCAATGGACAGTGATCGCAGGGGGGAGAGGGGA